ATAGTCTCATCTCTCCCAGAAACTGGCCTAACATGGTCCCCCTACCTCACTCAGTGGCTGGGAGCAGCCTACAGGAGTATGATCTTGGAAGAGAGGCTGAGAAGGGTTCCACTGGTTCCAGTTTGAGGTCAGCCTTTATCTGGATGCTAAGTATCTCCCATTTATCTTTTCTTTCTGTATCCCCTCTTTCTTATCATTGGTCCTTAAAAAAAATCCTGGAAAGTTTCTAGGCTTTTTACAATTATTTGTTTCTATTCTTTCTCATTTTGTAAATCTTTTTTTCCCCTAGCTTCCTGTTCTTGTTTCATGACTATAATATCATCTCTTCTGTGGAAAGATGTGTGGGTTTTAAAAAATTCATTTTACTACCTGATTTGTTTCTGTTTACTCCAGATTCCCTTTATATGTTTTTCTGGATTTTTCTCTTTTATGTTCTTTCCTCGATTGCCTAATGACCCTTGACTGCCTGCCATTTAAGAGAATGGCACCAACAAGCTCATTGGTAGTGGTGAGAGAGAGAGGCTACATTTGATCTTGCCAGATGGAGGGACCTTCAGGTATCAGAGGTCTTTCCTCTCTGCCCATTGAGTTTTCCCAGAGAGAACTTAGCCCTCCTCCTGCATGGCAATGGTCAGGCACCTACCTGAGGGCTGAGTAGAAGAAAGGAGCTCTGAGTATCCCATTTAAGGGGTTCAGATTTTTACACAACCACCTTTGGTTTGCATTATTGGGCCTTGTCACCTCATATGTTTGTCACCTCATATGTTTGAAGTACCCAAATTCACACTCTTTCAGATTTTCTCCAGAGTAAACTTCAAATTTTGGAAACCTGTTTCCTATGAAGAATTTCAACTAACTTTCCTGTTTCAGGCCCAACACATCAGTCCTGGCTTCAGAGGTGCCTGGTCCCTTCTAATCCTCAGCTTTTAAGAGCTTGCAGCTTGCTCTTGGCGTATCTCTTCCTCCATGGGCCCTGGGTTCAGTTTTTGCAGCTCTGATCTCTTTAGTTGTTTTCCAGTTTCCTAAATTTTGTAAAAACCCCTTGACTGCTGTTGTCTCTTTTCATACTTTCTTTTTTGCGGATTTTTTCTATTTTGGGTTCCTTTCCTCCCATTTTTGTTGAAGAGCAAAAATAAATATGTATTTAGTCCCCCACGTTTTATCTTAAGATTCTTTCAAAATATTTCCCTGATTCCCAAAATGATGAGCCCAGGACTTTGTATAGAAAATATATGGTACCACAAAAATCTACAGTTAACATTTTTTTTTTTAATTAACTGGAGCAAAAGCAGGAAAAATACTCAGATCTCTCTTCCTTCACTCATATCTTGTTCAGCTTGTCTATAATCACCGCTGTGAGGAAATATTTGAGGAATACGTCCTTATCACCATTAGGCTTGAATTTGAACCCCAGCTTGATCACACACTGAATATGTACCCAGAAGCAATTTTTTTGGTCATTCCTGTTTGCACATTGGTTAAAATCCTGCACATTTCAAAAGTGACTAGGATGAGCCATTATGCTGTATGTAAATTCCTAGCACAGACCTGGAGCTCACTCCTTATGAATTTTCCCCCTTCCTCTTTCAGAACAGGAAGAACTTGCAGCTTTGCTGGGATTGGCTGTTCTCACCTGGGTTGTCCACCACACACCTCTCACTCCCCAGGACCCAGAATTTGGTTCTGCTTTGCAAAGTCCTGCCTGCTTTCCCTGCCCTCTCCCCCTGCACCTGCTCCAGGGGTCTTGTCCCCTAGAACCTGTCACATACTCTCTTCATTGTATGACTAGAAATGTCATGTTTCCCCCCAAATCAGACAGGCACTTCTAAGCCTTTTGGTTTAACAAAATGGTTCCTGTAGGAATTTTTGTCATGAATAAAACAATATTTTTTGAAATGTTGCAAAATTCTTTAAGGAAAATAAAGAAAGTCACTCCCCCTACCTTAATCCCCCTACCTTCACCTCATGCAGAGGTGAAGAGACTCCAGGTGGATGCATAGGGATTCTCTCCCTGTCAGCATGCCAGTGTGGCCTGCCACAGGGGACCAGGACGACTGGGGGAGGGGAAAGGGAGAGGTGGAGGGGAAGAAGAGAGCCTTGTCCCTCACTTTGCCACCAACTGCTGCTCCAGAAAGGACCCAGCCTTTCTCTTTGACCATAGAGGTGATAAAGCAGCAGACAGGTTGGAACCTGAACAGATTTTCTCCATGAACACACAGGTAAGAGGAAAGATGAAGAAAACAATCACACTGGTTTTACAGAAGGCGAAACTATCCTTCAGGTCAAATGTCTTCACTTGCTCATTATCACCAAGATTTGTGGAATAGAAAGAATGCATCAGCCCTGCCCTCCCGGTTGCCTAGCAACAGGCCTCTTTTTCATTCCTGGCAAGTACAAAAGGGACTAGTTTTGAAGTGGTGGGGGGAGCATGTAGTAGGTGGGGGACAGAGGTAAGATCACTCCCTGGACTGCATAATAATGAGATATACAGATGTCATTGTGCAAGAGGTGTCCTGTGTTGCAAATGAATAAGGCAGTTCCAAAAGCATTTATCTTCCTCATTTGGTATCTATTCTGTACTGCCTCTGAGAAGTAAGGTTCACATTTGAGAGGTTGCTGTTTGTATGTGTATTTGCACATGCACAGTCATCAGCTGGATAACTGGGAGGATGAAAAGATCCCCACAGCTCACACTGGTAGGGGGAGGCAGGAGATCTAACTCCTGAGACTGCTGCTCTGGACATTGGATCATGAAAATCTTTTTCTGAGATATTCTGTGGGATCCCATTATCTGTTCCACTAACCTCTATGACAGTTCCCATCTGGCCTGAATAACTCAATAAGCAAGTCTAGGTCCTACAAGAAGGAGACATAAAGACAGCATTAAAAGTGCAAAGATTAAGGCCAAATGCCCAGGTGAGAGAAACTGGCAGGAAGCCAGAAGTAAATGTCACCCAGGTCTGACCCTGGATGAAGGAGAGAGGGAGGGCAGGTTGCAGGAATGTTCTAGATCTCTGATGAGTCTAAGGAAGATTTCACTTCCCCTGCAGAAGTTCTCTAGCCCAAATCACCCTTAGAAGAGCCCACCTCTCATGGAAGTGACTAGCTTAGCATCCTCTGTGCTTGGTCACTTCAGAGTGCCATAGCTAGGACCCTTGAGCACTTACTCTCCTTGCATTTGGAGGTCTGCAGGGCGTATTCTGGTGGCCCCCACACCCAGACTGGGGAGGTGAACTGCTTGGAGAGGGAGTGGGGTTAATCTGGGGTTTGGGAGTATCCCGCTGGGTGGACTTGAGAGACCTGGAAAGGTAAGTAGAGAGTCATGCAGTGGGGTTTGAAAAAGGAAGTACTTTTGGAGAAAGGAATAAATCTAGGGACAGGTAGCAATGGTTGGGAACTGGCGTTTCCAGGAGGAGGACTTCTATGGAAAATAAAGTTGATATTTAGTACAAGCTTTAAATCTCTTCTCTTGTTGCTGCTTCCTGGTAAGTTCTCTTATAATCAATCAAACTTCACATGGGAAATGCTACTGTAGTGGTTTTTCTTCCACTTATTTCTTAGTTTGTGCTGCTATAATAACATAAGTGAGACTGAAAAATTTGTCAAACAATAGAAATTCATTTCTCACTGTTTTACAGACTGTAAAGTTCTAGAGGCTGGGAAGTCCAAGATCAAAGCAATTGCAGATTCTATGTTTGGTGAGCACTCAGTCTCTGTTTCAAGATGGTGCCTTGAACACTGAGTTTTCACATGGTGTAAAGCAGGGATGAGTGCTGTGTTTTTACAGCAGAAGGTAGTGGACTTACTCCATCAAAAAACATTTTATAAGGGTCCTAATACCATCCTTGAGGGCTGTTCTCTCTTGACTTATTTACCTCCCAAAGGCCCTACCACTTACAAGTTTTACATTGTCAGTTGTTTCAACATTGAGACCATAGCAACCTACTATATATATATATATATATATTTTTTTTTTTCCTTCTCTTTAACAACTGGCTATATTTATAAGTGTTTGAAACTAGAATCTCCTTCTCCATGTAATTTTGCATCAATTTCCATTTTAACCTCACTGTGAACATCATGATGTATCCTTTCTCCTGTGGAAGGCAGTGGTGTCAGAATCCTCGGCATTTGGTCTCCAAGCTACATTGCCACTTGGATGTTTCTCCTGCTCTTTGCATCATTTCCCACTCTCGAGTAAAGGCTGGTATCTCCCATCATCAGAGAGGAAAGGAATGCCTGCCCACCATATTCACCCACTGCTGCTGCTGCATGTGAAATGGCAGCTTCCTAAGGACTATTTTCAGATGCTCTGGAGGGTGACCAGTCCTGAAGTACGCTGGTTTGTAGAGGACATTGTGGCCTGGGGAACAGTGGGAAGAGAGCCATTCAGAAGGGATAGAAGATGAAAACTCCTTTGTCCCAGTAGGAACTATGGGGAGATGACTCTAGGGAGTGGAGCACATTCAGTTTCAGCAATGTTTACTGACGGCAGGTGCATTGCCCACATCATCTCACTTACCTCCCACCAAGACTTCCCAGACTAGGCAAGAAGCTAGGTAATTTGCTCTGGGTAATGCAGTTGGTGGAACAGGGTCTCAACCCTGCCTGTCTACTGCAAAACCTGTGTTACAAAATTCTACATTGTCCTATGACTGGAGTGACAAATGAAGGGCCAATGGAGGCTAGGTCAGCCTGGCATTCTGGGATTGTTGACTTAGTCCCCAGGCAGGTAAGACTTTGGAGGGCTCCTCGAGGACCCCTGGTTCCTCACTTTGGAGCATCTAGCCCCTTGTGCGCACGTGCCCAATCTCAAGCATTTGATTTAGTCCCCATGAGCATGAGTGCAATGGCCCCCTGGTTCCAAACCTTGGCTCCATAAACAAATCTTTCTTAATTAGACTTGGCAGCTCAACACCTTTGGTGTATCTAGCCCATTTAACTGCCACGCCTACTCTTGTTGGATCCGGTTATAAAGTAAACTATGTTCTTTGAGAGCTGTTGAATACAGATGAGTCAACAGCCGGTCTGAGCTGACCCACAGACTCATAAAAACCAACAGGGCCCCAAGTACCCTCACCTGAGGCACCCAAACTCTTGGATCAAAAGTTCAAGAACTTGCTCACATCAAGGATCTGGCTGCTTCTTTGGGGATCAAGAAAATGAGGTTTTGTCTCTACATTTGCACTGGCAATCCACAAGGTAAGGGGAGAAATGCCTCATTGTCTCTTTATAGAAAACAGGAGTTAATGCTTGGGGAAACTCAGTCCTGTTTTCCTCATCTCAAATCTAGACAGACTTGTCCATCCACTCCCAGGGGATAAATGCAAGGTTTTAATTGTTTTAATTCATTCACTGGATGCTCCTGATCTGCTGATTATTAGCTCTGAGCTGCACCCTGCCTTCCCTGGGCCATTTCACAGCCCTGCAGATGGAAGGAAATTAAAATCTTTGGTTGCAACACACTTGGTTCCAAAGTCTTCTTGCAGCAGCCATGTGTATAGCTCTTCTATGTCTGATGGAGTACTTCCAGCATCTCTTGAGCCTTATTCATCTTTATAGTAGAGAATAAAAGAGTTAGTGGGGTCTAACATGGAGTTTTATCTGGAAAAGGCAAGTTAGTAAAACATTTGTTTACCTTCACTCCATTTCCTGACAGCACTTTATAGAATTTTGCACCATTTCAAGTGAATGCAGTTGGATTTCTCAACACTTGTTCAGCTTCCTAAATATTGTTGTGACAAATGCTTTGTGACAGTGATGTCAACAATTTCCCTATGCTCTGACAGGCATGGAGCTCCTTTTACAAATATCTATATCTTATAGATAGGGCATAGTTGCTCAAAAGAAGTTAATCTTTTGCATTTGGCAAATTAGAAAATCTGCAACTTTTTCAATTAGAAAAAATGGAGTTTCCCCCTTTGGTTGGGCATAGAAAATGGACCAAAATATAGTGGTTGGGTAAACAAGAGTTTGCTAGACACTTTTGTGTTGGAGGGGCAGCCCAGTCTCTGAGGGTTCCCTTTGGCCATTTCATTCCTCTACAGTGTTTTGTGTAAATATATTCTAAGTCCACTTCGGCTTTTAAAAGTCTAGTGGAGATGAGAGCACCTGGAAAAGTATGGCCATCAGAAAAGTCTTTTCTCTCTTGTGTTTGATAAGTCATGAAGATGAATTTCTTTCTGCTTAAGGAAGCAAACCAAGTTTAAGTGCAAGGCTGAACTTAAAAAGAAGCAGAGTATATGGACTGTTTGTGAAGGGTTTTTGGAACTTTGATACTATTGGTAGCTTTTGGGTTGCTCTGAGTTTCTAAAGAATTTTAACATAAGTTGCTTATAATAGCCAAGCATGCTTTCCTCTGGAGACCTGAGACTCAAAATTCTCCATGCATGACCCTTTACTTTTCTCTGCAAGACATTTTTCTGTACTAGGTCACAAACATACCCTGGACCTTTTCACGGCTCAGGGATTTCCCAAGGATTCAGCTGTGACTCACATGCTTTGCCTTTTCCTTGCCCTGTGGCATCCATGGATTGATGGCTTCCTAATTCCTTCTCCTAGACTTCTCATAGAGCCCTCTCTGGAGCTGTTTATAGTCTCAGCAGCTTGATCCTGGATTTATTTAACTCCTCTTTGCTGTGCAATGTAAAATGCTGATGATGACTGTTGTCTTTCTTCTCTTCATTTTTGTCCTTCTCATTCATATTAATATTATGCATACTTTTTTCTTTGTTTGCCTTCTGACAAGCTTATAATAAACAAACACAATGTTCTGGGAGCTATGCTAGGTCCTAGGAAACTGAATGGCCTGGCAAATGCTTTTAATTGCTCACTGTGCTTTGCTGTGGTGATCTGACACTTGGAGTTGAGGGGTATGTGCCTGAAGGCCATGATGATGAGGGACTGCTACACAAGAGTGTAGTGGAGGGATAATTGCTAAATGCACAGGGCAGAGCTTTGTACTTGGCCTATAGAAGACTTCATGGACTCGTGATCCTAAAAGCCCTGGGCAGGCAGGATGGTACCCAGTGGGGACAGGAGTGGGTGATGAGCACACACAAAATGCAGGTGATAAAGGGCCCATGTGTGACACATGAGGAGCTCAGCAGTATCTGCAAGGCAGTGGGGGACCATGGTAAGATCCTAGTTACATAGTGGCAAGTTTGCTCATCTGTGAAGTGCAAGGTGGGCTGAGTAGGGTTAGACTGTTGCCAGGGAAACCAGGCAGAAGATCACCAAGAGGTAAAGATCTAGCCGCTGATTGGCTGTGGAAGGGGACAGGTGAGGATAAAGTGGAGCCTGAGATGCGGCAATGTCCCCAGTGTTCACATGATGAATGTACTTTGAATGGCAAAGAGCGTTTTCTTTTCATTTAACCCTCACGTGACCATGGTGCCCTAAGAGAGATAAGCTAGTATGCTCCCTAGATGTTACGATAGTGAGGGTTATGTAGGGAAGGGAACTGGCTTCTCAAATGCATCCTCCTCTTTTCCACACCAATGAAATGCACTCATGTTGCAGGATAAGGTGAGGCTTCAGCACAGTGACATGTCTCAGCCTGAGTCTTTTACCCCTGGGTGCTTGGGTCTTACATGAGGCATTGTCTTGGATCTGTAGTCAATCTTATTTATGAATCTATGCTAAACCACAGTGTCACCCCTGCTGTAGGAGTCAGGGCAAAGAACGTGTTGCTCCTTAATATGGTAGCCTAGAGCCAAGATAGTCAGCAATAATAACTGAGTTGCTGAAAGCAGAACCCCCTGTAAACTGTTTCTGCTCCTACCATTCAGTGCCCGGTTGTTGCCCTGCCTAAGGTTAGACTCTGGGCTGAGTCTTTCCTGGGGATCACTGAGCAGCCACACTTCTCAGTCCCCCTCAGCAGGGAGGTAAAGGGAAATTGATTCTGCCTTCTGAGTTTTCCTCACCTGGCTGCAGGGAACCTGATGGTGCTCATGAGGCAGACCCATGAACCTGGAGGCTGCCGCACCTGGGGAACACTGTCTCGGCACTTCCTGACCTTTGAGACTGAGGGGATCATCTTCTTGGGACACATAACACTCCCTCAGTGTGCCCTGTTTGAGAGACTCTGGCCCAAGACACACAGGTAGTACACGGAAGAGCTGGGATTCAGACTTGGCTCTATCTGACTCAATCCACCCCTTCTTCCTTCACTTTGCAAGTGGGGTTATAGGCCTTGAAATACATGGTGAGGCCCTCCAGTCCAGAGTGTCTGGAAAAATAACCATAGTTTAATTCCTGACGGACTTCAGGCTAGCCACTGTAAGGCAACCTTTGTCCCTAGAGCTTAACTGACTTTTGAGGTTCTGACAGCGACGCAGAATGATTCCAGCATAGGTTATGTAAAACCCGAGGAGAATATGCCAGAATAAGCATCATGTGGTGAGCTCAAGTCACTACTGAATGAATTATTAGCACAGAGATCAACAAATTCCCCCAATAGCTAATTTGGGATCATTGGACAGGATGATTGACTTTAATGGCTTCTTTGGATATTCACTGCCTTCTCTTTTTCCCTATATTGGCTGGGCTTTTTCAGAGGTAGAAGTGATAGGGTAACAAAGCACAGGGACCATATACCTTCATTAAAAAAAAACTAGATTTATTTTTACAAATAAGAAGACCATTTCTACTTTACAGATTGGGAAAAGAAAGTACAAAACTCTGCAGATGTAGCTCAAGCCAAAGGTGAAGAGAAAAGAAGCCTAGGTCTTCCCAGTCTGCCTCCTGGAATAGAAACGATTCATGAATGATATTAGCTCTGCTCTGAAAGAGCGAAATGGTTGGCTGGATTTTGTGTTTCAGAAATCTTCGTGAACAAATAGGAATGTGGAAATTGGGGAAGTAAAACAGAATTCAAAGAAATAAGAATCTTCATTTTAAAAAATGCAGGGAATTTATGTGGAAATGTATGGAGGTAGATCCTTAGAAAAGTTAATAGTAAACAAAAAGTAATCTTTAGGGTAAAGAGGGCCAAGGGGTCCTAGGAGTGCTGGGTGCACTTGCTCCAGCTAGGATGGTCCTAAGCCATCCTTGCTGAGATGTTCAGGGAGAGTATTGGGCATCTTTCCATTGCCTTGTCAGAATCTTCTAACAAAGAAGAAAAGGAACAATGCACACACACACACACACACACACACACACAGAGATACACAAACACACACAACTCCTAAATTCTTTTCAAACAAAAAGGAAGAAGAAACCCACTATGGTGCAGAAATAGGCAATTTGAAAAGCATCAAGAATCCAAAGATGCTCTGCCCCAAGTAGCTCAAAAACTCCTATAAGAGCTCTAGCTGTCAAATACAAAACCCAACCCAACATCACCCCATTAAAAAACATAGCACTGAAATGCTCATTTTAAACAATCGTTGAGTCCCCCTCATCCATTGTACAAAGGAAGAAAACAGAGGCCCATAGGAGACAGTGACTTGCTCAAAGATCTGAATCTGAATTAACATTTCTCCTAACAACATGCTCTTACTCAAAGGAGTTTGTTGTTATTTTCCTGAAATGTTTTCCCAGGATGCAACAGAATCCATCTTGGCCCATGTGCATCTGCCCTGTGCTGTGTCCTGTGGGTAGGGTGCTTTGTAAACATTGCTTTCTGGTTAGATACATGTGAACCACCTTTACTTCTAAGAGAAGATTCTTTCTGAATATTCTGACATACAAGCCAGAATTTTCCATCTAGTCAGAAATTTCCAGTGTCCATGACTTTTCATCTCCATTTGCACAAACTTGTTTTTTGGCTTAGATTCAGGAATTGTAGTTACTGGGGTATGTCAATATGCAACTTTATCCTCTGAGAAATGATTTAAATATACAACACAACCCAGTTGAAAGCAACAGGTTAATATGGCCTTTGCAGAATTAGAACAACCAAAGTTCTCAGGTGACTACCCCTAAGGGAAGTCTCATGGTTCGTTACCCTTGATGAAATTCTTGGGAGCTTTCTGGCTCTTTCCAGATCTGCCATTTGTCCTTGGGAAGCCCAACAGAACTTGGAAACTATGAATCACTGCTGTTAGCTTCTCACAGGAAAATACTCCATGATGAGATATTCAGGGAGATAAGAGTGACCCCCATCCCATGCTTGGAGGCACAGTCAACCATTTCAGGGTCCTGGGTATTTTGATGCTATTAGGGTGTTGGACTGCTGATGAATTATGCATGAAATATAG